TCCAGAACCGTGAGAAATAAATGTCTGTTGTTTGGACCACTCAGTCCACATGGGACTCTGCGATAGCAGTGCCAGCTGACTGAGACAGCTCCATAGTGAACTTCTAAGTTACGTCTCGGGAAAGTCTATGAACTGTCCTTCTAGAGATAACAACGCGTCGTCCACAGGAGATGAGGTTTATTGAGATGACCTGTCAATGGAACTCAAGCTTCATCATGCTAATCTATCAAAATCAGCACATGGCTTAACACCAGCCCTCCACATCTTCCCACAGGTTTTAAGGAGCAACGTCTGCACCCTCCACGTTACAGAGCTGGGAGGGGTAAGCCCTCTCCGCTGTCGGCAGGTTCTGCGACTTGAAGCAGAACAACGTGTAATGAAATCCACTTCACCCTACGCTAAGTGCTGCCAACGAGAGCTGGGCTCCTCCCGCATCTCATCCACGTCACGATGAAATGACATTGAACAAAACACAACTGGAGGACCGAATATCCCGAGATGACTTCTGCAGACACTGCGGAAGCCGCCTCCGTTTAGTCGCTGAAGCGTCCTCAGAGGCCCCACCGCAGCCAGGCCGCCTCGGCCGCGCTGGGTGAAGGGAACTGGGGAGCCCCAATGACGGCCTGGATCCGCGGCGGCCTCCTGGCCACTAGCAGAGGGACCGGCTGGTGGGGGCTGTTTGGTGTGGTCCGCTCTTTGCTTTGTACTGCATGCGTTAGTTGCCCATGTTCAAAAATCGGGAGATTGCACCTAAACACACCTACGTTCTCTAGCGGGCTCTCGGCCGTCTCTCCCGGGCGCTCTCCCGACCTGGAGGCCCGGCGTCAGACACGTGCCACTGGTCATGTGCTGTTTCTTGCCCTTTCCGATGTCTCTCATCCCCAAAAATCTGGCGGTAGGGTTGGCGCCTGAGGCCACATACACTGGATCACGCCAGAGGGTGTCACTTGTGTGGACGCCTACATAAGGCCTCTGCAATGTGGCAAGAGCTCCCCTGTTTACAATCCCTGGAAACAACTGATGTCTATGCTGTTTTTTTAGACCTAAGTCCTTACATAATGATACTTAACATTTATTTAACATTGAGATGATGGCATTTTAAATTGTAGCTTGAAGACCGAACATAGCATTCTAGGATACATATTAAGATTCTGACATATGCAGCATTCAAGATAATATCATCACATCAGCCTTTTAGCCAAGCAGCGGTAAAGCCGCCAGAACCAAGTTCAAAGGTACCTCTTACAGGCTTTCGAACGCTCTTCCGATGGACCAGCAGCGGCACAGGAAACCACTCCTGGCCGTCGGAGAACCTGTTGCTCTAAAACTCCCTTTGCACTGAAAAATGAGATAAGGTCTCTTCCCCTTCCCCACAGCAACAGCTACTGATGAACAATAGTAATCATAGCTCACATAGTAATTTTTAAAAATATTTCTTAAATAGAAAAATTAGAGAATGTTCACCCAGTGTACTCTTCCAGTTTCTAAGAATGCTCTGTGCTTATAAAAGATAAATATTGCAGCCACAGAACCTAGAGCTGGGAAAGAACCCTGGGATGTATTAAGTCCAATCAGTTCACTTAGGGGCAAGTTCAAATTGGTCCAGAGATGTTAAGAAACTCACCCGAAGTCCTCCAGCTAAATGTGCCAGAATTGGAACTATACACTGCAAGACAGACTCCTGTTTCCTTGTTTATTTCTCTGCTGTCAAAAACTGTAACTCTGAGCGAGCCCTGATAGTACACAGGAACACAGGGGGCCGGGGGCAGGGGGCGGGTGCAGGTGGTAAGCAAGGAAAAAGAAAACCAGAAACAGAAGAGTGGGAAGGAAAGAAGAGAAAAGTAAGAAATCACCTCCTGACTGAGCCACCCCAACTGCCGTGTGAAAATTTAATTTCCTCTTTGGAAATTTCGGTTGGAAAAAAAAGGCGTATGTCTATTTGCAAAGTGCACGTCTTTTTTAATTTTTCAGACTTCACACTCTACTTTTGAACCTGTGTTTCTTTTTTAATGTCATCTCAGAGACTTGGTACCGGGGAGGGGAATGCCCGGCTCTCGACATGATTTCCGAGCCCCCTTAGAAGTATCGAGAAATTTATAAAGGTCTCTTTTATACCAAAAGGGGGCTGGCACGCCTTCATGCAAGCCACTTGGAAGATTTATGTGGCACTGCGCTGACACGCCCCTGGCCCACGTTGGGAACCCACGGCTGTTCACGAACCCCAGCCTTTCTGGTTTCTGAAGCTGATCCCAGTTTGGAGCCTATTAACCCTTAGTTGGGATTATATATAGTGGTACCCTCTTTAAGAACTTCAGTGGGAAGGAAAAAAAAAAAACCCCGTCATAAATAAATGCGTTGATTAAAAAAATATAAAATATACTTTGTCCTCTAGTCTTTAAGTTTGTAATTAATTCACTAAGTGACAACCTGGGCCGGATTAAAATGACCTGGGAGGGGAGATACTCAGGCACGATAACCGGTCCCTACACAATTCTCCTCAAACCCAGTGGTTTTCTGGAAACTACCCAGCCAGGCCGTTCCGTTCAAGGACTTTTCTTGGACTGCTCGTCTGTTTGGGGACAGCACAGGCCGACGGAGCGCCACGACCCCATGCTCACGGGCTTGGACAGGAGGCGCTTTCTCCCAGCCAGGGCCTGCACTTGGGTTTGGTCTGCAATCCATCATTTCAAAACGTGAGCTCCTCGCCACCGCCCCACCCCCACTCCCTGTCTGGCCCCCCTCCCCCTTCTCCTAAGCACCCAGAAATGGCATTATCAAAGATTCCATCTCAGCCCCACGGTGGGTTCTGCCTAATTGACCGACATTCTTTCATCTCCCCTTTTTCTTGTTGTTTTTTTGGTTTTTTTTTTACTTTTTCTGTAGGAAGAAGGAACGATGAAGAAAATGTTCTTGGATTTCATTTCTGGCAGAGCCCTGGGAGCTTTGCCTTAAATCGTTAGTGAAATGCTTGACATTTTTCCTTCACTTCATAAACATTATGTGCAAATCATTCAGAATCCTAATGGAAAGTAATTTCCCATTAATGCAGGCCATAACCCGCCAGGTTCTTTTGAAACTGTGCCCTAGAAACAAACCGTGCGGGACCCCTCTATGCTTGCAAATTCCACCCACAAATCAAGGAGGCCGGGGGCGGAGGGCTGGAGTCGGGGACCAGCGCTACCGCCCGGGGCCCCTGAGGAGACGCAGGAGGGACGGGGACGTGTCAAACAGCGGCTGACGGGGTACCTCCTGGGCACTGAGCCTCCTTCAAAGCCATCGTCTCCACATCTGTGGACTCTGGCTGACAGCGTGGACGCATCTGCCCAGAGCCTGAGCTGCTGACCAGGAGGCGGAACCCGGGGACTGACAGGCCCGGGAGGAACTCCCCGCGGCTCCTCCTTTCGTCCGGACACCTCAGCAGCCCCCTGGCTGGCCGGGGGTTCCCTGGGACCGGGAATCTTGAAAGCAGATTCATTCCTGAGGCTCCTGAGCATTTTACACACCCCCCCCACCCAGTATTCCTTCCGAGTGACATAAAATGACATATCGGTGCAAGGACCCAGCTCTGCGACTCACAGGCTCTGTGACCTTTGGAGAAAATGTCACTCACTCATCGGTAAGATGGGAATGGCAACAGGACTCGAAACATATCAGAAGGATTCAGTCCATCACCGGACTCACAGGAAGCACCCCACAAGTGCGGCCGCTCTATTGTTCTATTATTTACTACTGGTTTGTTTTACATTATCGCTTCCTATCATAGTGGGTGTCAACTGTAACTGAAAAATAAAAAATGATTTTAAAAAATTGAAAGCATAGCAACAGCATTGGAAGAAAATCCTGCCCGCATCACTTATAGGGGAAGGGTGTTACAGAGGAGAAATTTGAAGTCCACGAACTTTGACCAAAGCCTCACACTTACACAAAAACTAACTCAAAGTGGATCGTGCACTGAAATGTAAAAAAGCATAAAACTTCTGGGGAAAAAAACATGGGAGGAAATCCTCAACTCCTAGGGCTAAGAAAAGAGTTCTTAGACCGCATCTCAAAAGCATGAACATAAAAGGAAAAATTGATAAATTGGATGTCATCAAAATTTTTAAAATTTGATAGCAGAAACACTGCAAAGAGAGTAAAAAGACGTTACAGAATGAGAGAAAATATTTGTAAACCACAAAAATATACGAAGTATGTTAAAAACGCCCTCACAAATTGGGAAAAAAAAAATAAAAACTTAATCTCCCTGTACGTAAAGAATTCTTATGAATCAATAAGACAAAGTACCCAGAGGAAAACAGCGAATTACAAGAACAGGCAATTCAGACCTAACAAAATACAAAGGGCAAATTAAAATACAGAAAAAACAGCGAATGTCACTAGTTAATCACAGGAAGACAAATTAAGATGGAGTACCGTTTTTCATTGTTTTTTTTTTAACCCTTGAATGCTTGGCAAAAGTGGAAGTCTAACAACAGGGGTGTGGGAAAGCCGCTATTACCACATCAATGGCAACGTGCCCATGAGGGAGGGCAGCTTGGCTATACAATACCTACTATCACTTGAAACTTGCATTCGTCCAACAAAGTACCTTCATTGCCAAGAAAGACTAGCCCATCAGTGTATACAAAATATCCTACAGAAACAGGCTTTAACTGGAAACAACCTCCATGGCCATGCATAGGGAAATGTATGTGTAATGGAAAACTAAGAAGCTGTTAAAAAAAAAAAATAGTGGGTTAGATCTAGACACATGGCATGGAAATAACTCCAAGAAACAGTGGCACATTTACAAAAGCCAGCTGCAGAACAGTAACCTGGTATGATCTCGTATTTGGGTGGGGGGAGGAGTCACCACACAACAACAACAAAAAAAAAAAGAGAGAGAAAGAAAATTCAGGGTCTCGGGGTATTCAACAGAATTGGGGAGCACACGCAGGAGGCAAACGCTGCCCACCCAGCCTGACTGCAGGGCGCACCGGCCCGCGCAGCGGGTGTCTCACCTGTCAGCTTTGCCGTCGAGGTGGTGGGCACCCCATTGAGCTCACTCGGACTCCTTTTTAGGGGCCGTGGCTTGTATTCGCGTTTGGGCAGAGTGGATGCCACCGATATCCTGCAACACAGGTTGGGAGATGAGTCGGGATCTGCTGAAGGCAACACAGAGCCTCCAACCCACGTCTGCTCTGCCCTGAGGGGCCCACGCCCTCGGGAGTGACTTCTGCACACTGATTCTCGAGTCCCCCAAAGTGCTGGCAGTAACGTCCCAAACAGCACGGTTCCACTACGGGCTGGAAACGTGTCTCTCGTAAAGTGTCTTTGGGTGATCAACACCGACAACTTTCTTTCCCTTTTTGCCTGAGACAGAAAATGAAAACTCATTCGCGTGAGCTCCAGGTGGCTGCCTGTCTACCGAGCGGAGGCCTCGCGGCCTGTGCACACCTTTTGTCTCCCCTCTGCGGTGAAATCCCACCAAATCTATTCATCATCACAATCCTGGGTAAGACACGTTTCTGTTTTCAAAACACAGGGCGCTTTCTTTTAAAACCCTTGTTTTAATGAACGGGGTCACGGAGCACACTCCGTCTGACATCACCGGTTTTCAGAGCAGCACAGGACACATTGATCCTGAAAGGCCTACGGGACGCAGCAATCGCTCTGTGATCATTCAGAAGGAATTTCTCGGCCTCAACGCCTCTCAGAGCCAAGATGACGAATGCAGCCTGATAGCTGAGCTGCTGGTGTAAGACACGTCTTTTTCCAGATAGTGACACACTTTCTGAGTGTCGTCTGAGGCGTCGCCACATCCCTGGATGTGGCGAGGGAGCACTTGCCCTCATCGCCCTCCCGATGAGGAGTCCCGATGGGGAGCGTGTGCTCCCCCATCGCTGTCCACGAGGAGCCAGACGCTCAGGCAGGAGTGAGACCAGCTCTGCGGGGGCTGAACTCAAGGCCAATGAGTAGCTTTGCCTGGCTGCCCTGGACACAGGTCACGGAAAAGGGATTTAGAGAAAAGAAAAAGGAGAGAAAGTGCCAGCTCCCTTTCCCCAGTTCCGTCCTTTTGGCCAAAGTCACTGCATATTTATTATCTCAGTACGATCCCATACCCACCCATGGAACCAGCTAAAGGCAGTTCAAAACAGAGCAGGGCAGTGGGAAGGCGGGACAGAGAGACGGGGAGGCGGAGCGATGCCCACCGATTCTAACTCCGCGGCCCCGGCGCGGCGGGCCCTTACCGAGTCTGCAGCTTGCTCTGGAGCTCCTGCAGGATCTCGGTGGACTGCCTGTGATAGTCTAAAGCAGCCTCTACGAACACGGCCAGCTGGCTGACTTGTTCTACCTGCAGCGGAAAAGGAAATTACTCCGTGCGGCCCGGGCCGGCGCTGCAGGGGGCCCGCGTCCCCCGGGCTCGCTCCGGCCCATCTCAGGGCACCACCCCCGCCCTCACCCGCAGGCCCTGGTAGGGGCTAGAGATGCGGGCAAAACACGCTCCAACAGAGTTCTGACTCTACATGTGATTGAAGGCAATAAAATGCCTGGTATTCCAATGAGATGATACGCTCAGGAGATTTTTATGCTGTGAAGGCCAGCGATCTGGAAACAGAGATCGAGCTTTTCCGGTTACAAGGGAAACCGACACTGCGGCGAGGGAAGAGGTGGCCTCTATGCTCTTCGTCTCTTGTTGACAATGAAGGCACATGGTGCCACGGTGGCTTATCTGCCTCTCCCTGCTCAACAGCGGAGACTCCCAGCTGTCCCTGGGCCAAGAGCAGCGAGCTCTGAACACGTGGCCTCTGCGTCCCAATCACACTTAGGATCAAACGCCTGGACAGATGGACCAAAGGAGCAATAAACCCAGGCCTGGCGATCGCCAAAACCAGGCAGGAGGTAAAACGTTTCTTTCACTGCCTGCACCACCCAGTTTGGCAAGTCCGTCCGGTGACTCGGGGAAGGTCCCGTGGGATGAGAAGGCGGGCGTAGCTCCACGTCCGGTGGAGGCCTGCGCTTGTGTAGTTAACTAGCTCTGTCCCTTGCCAGCGCAGAGTGGGAGGGGCTTAACTGCCGTGTGACCAGCACGATGCTGTCACTGTCCCGAACAGCCAAACGACGGAGTTTTCCTAAGGAAGGATCACTTCTGACCTTGGACTGATACTGAAGGGAAAACTGAGGTCTCTTGGGTCGACCACCAAGAGCAGAGCAATGGAGACAGGCGCCCGCCGATGGGGCACACGGGTGAGACCGCAAGTCTCACATGGGACTCAACCCGAGGGTTTGAACCGCCGCTCATGGACGTGGGGCTGGAAGGAATACGCACATCTGTACACGACAAGGTAAAACAAACAAAACAGAGCAAACTGCTACACCCCTTCCCATTGCCCATAAAACGTATAAAACCTGATATTTAACAGGAGACACAAAACAGAGGATGCTTTTGAGGACTCCAGGTCAATGGACGTGGGGGTTGTAAATCACTTTCTCCCGGTTGGAGCCTTATCGCCGTTGGGCGTAATCCCCGCTTGTCACAAGACCAAGGCTCAGGCAGGGACTCAGGCCACTTCGTTTGACTCGACTCAATGATGCAAGACCTGGATGTACCTTTTAATGAACTGTTGTAAGTAGAACATGGTTTTGCAGGTAAATAAATCCTCTCATTTGTGCCCATGGACTTAAAAGTTCTACAAATAGTGCCCTGGCCAGGGAGCTCCATTGGTTAGAGCATTGTCCCCGCTAAACCAAGGTTGCAGGTTTGATCCCCGGCCAGGGTGCCTAAAAGAATCAGCCAACGGGCGCATCAGTAAGTGAAACAACGCATTGATGCTTCTTTCTCTCCCTCTCTCTCTAAAAGAAATCAATAATTAAAAACATTTAAAACAAAGAAAACTTCAACGAATAGGTCCCAAGCGAGAGCTGAGCTGCGCTGGCCCACGGCACCACCTGGAGGCGGGCAGGCGACCGCGGGCTCTTCGGCTCGGGCACGGAGAAGTGCGGCACGACTCCTCATCCCCAACCCAAAGAGCCTTCACCCTACCACTTGCCTGAACTCCGTTCACTCTAGCTCCGCGTGGACGAACAGAGCTGGTGGCACGCCTCACAGCCCACGACCAGCCGCACGGCTAAGAGCTCGGTCCCAAGAGCGGCGCACCCCCGAGCACGGCAGCACCCCGTGGCTCAGCTGAAAAGTCTGTCGTGCTTTGATGACCCAAACATTCACTCTAACAGCTGAAGGCGTCAGAGCGCCGGGCTGAGGCGGGGCTCCCCCTCCAACGACCTGCCCCCCAGAGGGGTTGTCCCCATCTCGGCACCACGGCCACTCGCACGTGACGTGGGCTTCCCATTCCACAAAGCCAGCGATGCTCCGGCCTCAAGTACAGAGGCCGGCAGCTGGGTCATTGCCGAGACGTCCCACCTCCCCCCGCCAGCTGCAGCACAGCCGGGCAGCAACCCTGGGACAACCGGGACGCCCCGGGACCTGATTCGAGCTGGGGCCTGCTGAACATCTAAAGTTATCGCTGAGGCCGGAGAGAACGGGTTCAGGAAGTTCTGGAAACTTTTCTGACAACAAAGGCACGAGGGTTTCTCTACAAACATATAGTCAGCGTGTTCATTCACACGAAAGCCTCCTGTTTGGGTTAAATACTTACATCGTTTTCTAAAAAATTAAACATGCTTCTTTCAGCCAACTCCTTTGACTCTTCAAATTTTTCTACCGCTTGTCTGACTTCTTCGTCTGGTATCTTACCTACTCTCTTCTTTTTATAATCGTAATCCAGGCGGCGGCCCTCCAGCTTTTTCAGGTGGTGCTAAGAGATGGAGGAGACAGGCCGTTAGGAACCGGTCCACTCAAAGCACAGCACTGGGAGACCTTCCTGCCTCCTACGAGAAGAACCGTTATTTTTCCACAGCCTAAATTTTAGGGGGCAGGAACCCATCTTACATTTTGTTTTGGTGGGCACCTCAGCATCTATTAGAGCCTCCTTTCGCTGCACATTCTCAAGGTGTATTTATGAAATGAACGGATGGATGGAGGGAGCGTAGACAGACGGACGGATGGGTGGGTGGATGAGTGAATAGATGATAGAGTGAATGGAAGTCAATAAGGACACCATATCGGAACTCATATCCGTTTTCCGGAGTTTGTTAGGGGGCCCCTCACGTTGGCTCTGTTCACATCCGAAGAACTTCCAACCCTACTAACTGCACCCAAAACAGGGCTGTATTTTTTGGCACTATTGTCAGCTCCTCGCTGAGACGTAGATGATAAAAAAGCAAGTTTCTGGTATCCTCTTACAGGGCGTCCAACCTTTTGGCATCTCTGAGCTACACTGGAAGAATTGTCTTGGACCACACAGTAAATACGTTGCAACTTGTAATCACAACAAAAACAAACAAAAGAAAAAAAAACACAACCCTCCTAATGATTTAAGTAAACGTACGATGTTGTGTTGGGCCCCATTCACAGCCATCCTGGGCTTCATGCGGCCCACGGCCCGCCGGCCGGACCCCCCTGCTGAGTCTAGAACATTTGTGCATCTTCCATAAAGTTCCCTGACAATCACAGAAGCAGCTGAGTACACGCTACAATCAAGGCGATACCCACATCCTACGCGTGTGCTCTGGATGGCTGTTTTTAATGATCTTCCAAAAATAAAACGAAGTCGTGGGACGTGATGACCGCTCGTGCAATGTATCACGTGACTGTGATGATTTTCATTATCAAAAACCCACTACGCGGTTTTGGAGTCGTTTTATGTGAGAAACGGCTGTGAAAATAGGGACATCTAGCTTGGTTGCTCACTGGCTTCAACAGGCTACCGAGCAAAGGGCTCGCTGGCCCCGGGGCGCCCGCCCAGGTGGCCAGGTGAACATCACTGGGTGATTTTTTCCCCACTGCCCACAATCATTTGATGCTTCCACGGGGTCCCTCCAGAGCCATCCTAGTGGCTTTAAATATAAACATCATTTTAAGTAGCAACAGGTGGGTTTACAGCCAAGAAATCTTACCCCAATCTCTTTTAAATCTTTGTCTTGTAGTAACTGAAGTGGATCAATAAACGTTTGCTTTACATTAATATCAAGGGAGTCCTTCACCTCAGCCATGAGCTTCATGGATTCGCCAACTTCTATCAGCGCACCACCTGGAACAGAAAATACCAATAAAAAGGGTCCGTTGGCCACGGACCCCAAGGTTGGCGGTGGTTTCTTTCTTTCTCAAAATTTGGGGAGGATGGTTTGTGAAGCCCTTCGCTCTGGGATGGACACCGAAAAAAATTTAAAACATCTACGTTTCTTCTCCGCGTTCCGCGTTTTCTTCATGAAGCTCACCTGGAAGCCGACAGGCCGGGGCACTTACCGTCCTGGCCACTAGATGGGGCTAAAGCTCCACTTTTAAAAGACTGCTCCTAGGAGCTGGTACCCAGGGTTTCTTGGAAGCTTCCGAACACGGCCGCTCTTTGTAAACAATGAAAAGATTGAGTCATCATCGGGGCTGAGCGGCAACCAATAAAGATTACAATGGAAATAAATGAACAAAATCGCATCACAGCGCTTGCTGCCTCAGGCCGCTCCCTGCCCTTCAGATGGTTCTAAGGCTCCCATCGCGCAGTGACGTCAGAGACAGCCTGGCGGCCGCCGCGCCCCGCAGGGCGCTCCCAGCGGGGTGGGCGGGGCCTGCCTGGGCCTTGGGCGTGATGGGCAGGCCAGGCTGAAGGACACCCTGGTGCCTGGGCACCGGCTAATCCGTGCACGGTGAGGTTGCAGGTCTCTTTTCAAAACAACTCTGGGACCTGCTGCCCGAGGCTGCACTCGTTTTCCCGTTTGGGGGTGGTTTCCAAACTGAGTTTGTAAAAAGGCAGGGCTTGTGGCCTCTCCACTCCCAGGCTTAAAGACCTTGAAGTCCAGCCCCGAAATTTGCATTTCTAACGAATTGTGACCTGAAACAGTCTCACTTATTGGTTGAGGGCGAGCATAGTTTATTCACCTGTAGAGCAGGGATAGTACCATTGCCTTAACCTTTTTTTTTTTTTTTTTTTTTTTTTTGATAAGCAAACTAGATAGCGTACGTTCGTTACAGGACATTGCAAAATCTCAGTGGAAGTGTTACGCTAACGGACAGCCGGCTGGGACTTCCTCTGGCCCACCCTCAGCTTCGGGCCTCCCCAGGAGCTCGGTGGCCTTGCTGGCTCTCAGGAGTCTGCTTCTAAGCCGCCCTGACGGAAGTGGGGCGTCCTTTTCAAGCCCGGAGACTCTTCCCTGCCTGGCAAGTCAGAAACGGGGGGTTCTGCTTCTGACCTCCCTCCCTTGCAACCCATACCCCAGGATGTTAAGTAATTTAGCTTCAACAGAAACATGTCCAAGTATCTCTCCTTGAAGACCCCAAAGATGACACTCTGCGTGGATGGGGCATCCTCTCCTCCTGCCCCAAGATCAGTGCTGCGGATTCCAGGCGCGCACGAGGCTCCATTCCCTGCAGCTGCTGCACTTCGGGGGGGGTCACACTACCTGGGGTCCCCCAGCACAGCCCCCTCCGGCAGCTCGCGACCCATCCGTGCCTGGCTTCCCACCCGCCTGACTCGGCTCTCTTCCCCACCCCAGTTCCCTTAAGTTGTTGGGCACCTGGGAGGCCACCAAATTGTCTGTCCATCCACGCCCCCTCGCCTGTCACTGCAACCAGATGCATGGCAGGGATGCCCCGGATGTTGGCCTACCCCAGAGGTCTGCCTTCAGGATAAAGGAAAAAAAAAAAAGCAAGCCACCTTGTCCCCCACTTACGGGGAACAAAATAAAATCCGCATTAAACTGGTCTCACAGACATTGTTACCCTCTGTGACCAATCAATGCTTGAACACTTGTGGTTTTTAAAAAAGTTTTCAAAATCTCTTTCCCCCAATTTCAAAGATGAATTATGATGGCCAAATATTTGAATTCTCAACTTCCATACCCTTCCTTGTAACCACAACACGAATAGCAGAAGTACCAAAATCTCCTGGAAGACTTAAGATATGAAATTCAATGCGCCCCCCAATGTAATGTATTAATGTAAAGAAAGGTTCATCCAAATTTAATGAGCATTTTCTTTTTTAGTAGAGGAGACTTAACATGACTAAGTTTTATCTGAAAAAAAATAAGACAGATGAGGGTGTTCATGAGGTTTTTTACAATATCTAGGCGACATTTTAGTTACATATGTTAAAATATATTTTTACATTGCCATGCTGGAAACAACACGGCACTTGATCAGAACAGGGTACAGGTCACCAAAACAGGAAAGGCCAGGAACAAACTTGAAATATAATAATTTAGCCTACTTATTTGTGAGAAAAACAAAATTGGAACCCTCCGGAACAGTATTCATCCATTAAACTCAGGAGCCTGGAAATTTGTTTGGATGAAAAGAAAGTAGAAATAAACATTTGCACCATTAGTGGGGGTGAAGTGCAAAGTGTTTCTAAACTTGACATGAAAGCCATACACGACTGAGGGAGGCCCAGGGACCCCCCAACATAAAAAGCCAGCCTCCCTCTCCACTACAGGGACCCCCGCCTATGCGGTCAGGGGGCAAATGCCTATCCGGAGAGAGAACTTCACCAACAGAGAAGGCCATCGAAGGCATATATGCTGACCATTGAAAGGGTCCACAAACCAGTAAGAAAACAACAACACCAGGCACCTTCATAAGAAAATAGACAAAAGACACACATATACAATTCACAAAAATGGTAACAAATATGAAAAAAATCGGCCTCATGCATAATCCCAAAAGTGACGTCAAAACAGCACCAAAATAATAGTTTTTGATGCTACATATCACATGACCAGCGATTTCAAAGTGCACTAGAAAGAGAACCCGGGAATAGTAACCTACTCTCTCCCACACCTGGTGGAAGAGTCCAATTGGTACAACCTTCTCAAATATGCTTCCAAAACCTGAGAAGTAGACCGGCAATTCCACTACTAGGTATTTCATCTAGAACCATAACCTTGGAAATGGTTACCACAAATGCTACGTAAAACTTTTTACATAAAGAGAAACATCTAAGTATCCGGTAAGTGGGATTAGTTGACCAAACTAGGATGCGTGGAATATTATGCAGCCTTTAAAAACAATATTGTAGCCCTGGCTGGGTTAGAGCCTCATCCCGATACAGCAAGGTTGCAGGTTCAATCCCCAGTCAGGGCACATACAAGAACCAACCAGCTGAATGCATCAATACATGGGACAACAAATTGATGTTTCTCTCTCTCTTTCCCTCTTCCTCTCTTTCTCTAAAATCAATAAATGAATGATATGTATCATGCTACAGTTAGTGGGAATACACAGGTTACAAATGAGGCTGAGGATATATACTATAATTCCATTTTAATTTTTTAAACGTATATGTGAACACAGGTAAGAAGAAACAAGGTATAAAGGATGTACCACAGAGTGTAATTGGACCTCTCATTGCACGTATGATTTGGGATCTTCCTTCCCTAGCTTTTCTAAACTTCCTGTAACAGATATGTACAACTTTGGTAGTAAGAAAAAAAAACAGGCAGGGTGTCCAACCTTTTGGTGTCTCTGGGCCACACCGGAAGAAGAGTCGTCTTGGGTCACACATTCACTACATTGCGACACATAATCACACACACACACAAAATCTCATAATGTTTTAAGTGAATTTACGATGTTGAGTTGGGCCACACTCACAGCCATCCTGGGCCGCGTGCGGCCCGTGGGCCACAGGTTGGACACCCCTGAAAGGCCCCGTGGATAACCGACAAGCCGCAGGGGCGACCGGCGCACTCACCGAAGGTGGAGCCATCCCCGAGCTCCCGGCCGTACTTCAGCATGCAGTCTCCCAGCAAGCCCTCCGTCTGCGGGTAGCCGGTGGTCTTCACCTGCCCTCGGATCTTCGACACAGTGTTCAGCATTCCTAGCTTAGCTCTGTATGCTTAAAAACATCGTCATTTGTAATTCCTTACAGGGACAAGGCGGAGAGACAGGCACAGAGCATCTAACAAACGCGGCATGTCAGATCGAGGTCGCCCACACCGAATGCCAGAGACCTGAGGCAAGAAAGGGTCGTGTGCGACCTATGGCATCTCTCCTGCGGTCTTCACCTTTCGTGGGCCGGAGGCAGGGGCTCAGAGCTCGGGTGCGCGGTGGTCCCGCAGCCCTTCAGGACCTAAGACAGTGTCAGCCCTCGGGAGCTCCGTCCAGTTACTGGGAGCCAGATGACACAAGATGTAACTACGCCACTGACATTTGGTGCTGTGTCCGGAAAGGAAAACACAGCACGATGCGGGAAAAAGGCGGAAAGAGGCCTGTACAATGTGCAGACAGAGAAGATGTAGAAGAGGGGAGGCCACAGTATTTAACCATAAAGAGCCGGCCGGTTGGACCTGAGATGAAATTAATACAGGACCAATCGGAAGACAACTATGAAAAATGCGACTATGAGCACACAGAACGCCCTCCTAGCTTGTGGTGTTTGGGATCCGTTTGGCTAGAGAAAGCATAAGCGTTTCTTTCCTTTTACTTTCATAATCACATATCTGTCTCAATGTCTTCTAAGCCAGCGTGTGCCACACGGGGACATGCACACCAATCCCCCAAGCACCCTGGTAAAATGCAGAGCCTGATGCAGTCAGTCTGGGATGAGCCCAAGGCTGGGCTCCCCCGCCTCCCGCCCAGCCTCCGGCACCACGGCTCTGCAGGGGACGCGGACCCTGCGGTCGGGAACCAGGCCTCGAGCCGCAAGGCCTTAGGCCCCTCCGGGCACAGCCTGGGAGAGCATTGCCCACTTCGGTCTCGGAGCACGGATCCTCCTAGTCCCCGGGCACAACGCGTCATGCTCCCAACACGCACATGCACACACACACACGGGCTCACACAGACAGACACACGCGCTCCTGTCTCCCAGGGTGAAGCTGCACGGAGCAGCCTGTGAGTGAGGCCGTTACACTGGGTTAGAGGCTGCCGCGCCTGCTTCCTTCTTCCCTGGGAACAGCCAGGGCCCCAGCCACCTGGACACGTTCGTGGCCGGCCCGTCCCATCCCAAGGTCAGACCCTGGCGGACAGGACCTCCGTCCGGCTTCCCCGCCGGCCCCAGAACCCAGGAGGCGCTGACCGACTTATCAGCGAAAGAACTGGCATGCGTCGCCTGCCCCACTCACAAGGCCACGAAGGCGATACTCTTACAGCTTTTAAAACCGTAACCATCTACAAGAGTCTAAAGATGCTATGCCCACCAGCCGCCCGGGCCATGATTTTTATAAAACTGATGTTGTCCAACGTTTTACTTTCTAGATTTTCAGATGGTTCGGTCAGTGCTGATTCCTACTGCCAAGCGGGGGAGGGGGTGTCCCAGTAACTATAGATAAATAATAAATTTCTAAAAAGTAAAGGCAGTCTCAGAAATCCACAGGACTCAACGCTTGAACGCCTCTGTCCGCGTCTATAATTTCCACCTCATCGAGAACGCTGCTCCGCGGCCCTGGCCGGGCGGCTTGGTCAGTTGGAGCATCATCCCGTGCACCAGAGTTGTGAGTTCGATCTCTGGGTGGGGCATCAAATGGGGCAGCCAATTGATCTCTCTCTCTCTCTCTCTCTCTCTCTCTCTCTCTCTCTCCTTCCCTCTCTCTAAAGTCAACAAACATATTTTTTAAATTTTTGTTAGGGAGCACGGCTCCGTGACCTGGGAATCCAGCCCCTCCCGTGGAGAAGCCGATGTCACCAGCGGGGCTCCTGCTGCTTTTCCATTCGCGTGCCCCCGACTGCAGCACCTGGGCCGCAGAGCGAAAGCCGTTTCAAATTAATGTGCGCCTGCAGGACAGGGTGCACCGCTTTTTTTTTTTGCAGGAGGAAATGACTAAATAGGCAAACATTTGCAAAACGTTTCGTGGGTTTCTGAAGCATCTCGTAAGAAATGTCCTCCCTGAGCGGTGCCCGGATGCTCTGGCCACAGTAGAGGGGACTCCGTGACTCCTCAGCTCCTGAGTGGCTGGAGACTGGACTTTAAACCCCTGAGTCTCATGATGGGGGACACAGAAGGCCTCGTTCCCCGATCACATCAAGTAAGTGCCAGATAAACTGTGTGCATTCAGCCTCTGTCCCAGGGAACGAACAGGAGAAAGTAGTTCCAGACGCTTTCTAACTTTACCTGGATTGGGCTGAAGATATTCCGTGGCTTTTGAGAGAATTTCTGCAACAGCTTTATTGGTGACATCTATTTTCTTTAAAAACACACACACACACACACACATAAAACGTTGGTAAATGACAACGAAGTCACAGAAAAACAAAGAATGGTAATTTTCACCCAAGACTAAGGGAAGAAAGCCGAGGAGGGTGGTGGTTCCAGGGGACCCCAGGGACACCCCACATCGGAAACACGCTCGGGGACAGAGATTCGCCATCTTCGGAGCGTGACGTAGTCACTTCGGCAGGAGCCCCGCCCTCCTCTCCCCACGGCTTCCACACGTGTGCGTGTTCCGTGCTGCTGTCATGAGAGGCATGCAGGGCCCTCGGCATCACCCCGTGTCACACCCGGTTCTAGGGCGGCACCAGGACACAGCGGCGTGTTCCGCAGCTGCTGTGACCCAGGGAACAGACGCAGGGCGTCTGCAGGGGGAATCAGTTTCTATACACGTGAAGCATCTCGTCCCAGAAACACACTTTGACTCCCCAAGGCATAGGGTTGTAACGGGCTTTGGCCTTTTTAGCTGTTGGGCAAGACGGGCTTTTGAGCCAGTAGAAGGAGCCAGTGAACCTGTCCCATCTGCGCAATCAAGCCTGGGCTTAGGCGTGTGAAAAGCGTGGCCTTTGGACGCCAGCACCCACCTGCAGGCACACGGACCCCGCTGTCACCCCTGCGGGGCCGCCGCGCGGTGGGAGTCACGCTCACACCGCAACCGACGGGGAAACGCGCTCTTACCCTTTCCATGTCAAGAAACTCATCGTCTAGTTTCGTTCCTTCGATGCCACTGATTTTCTCACTGAACAGCTGCAGAAATAAAGACAAACAGGCACATTGGACGATGATTTGTGGTCAGTTTCTCACCCAAATGATCTCTCACGCACACCCACAAAGAGAGCCCCTTGGGTTCGGCTTGTCGTTGCTCGTTTTGTTTTCTTTTGTTGTTTGTTTTTGTTTTGCTTTGTTTTACCAAGTCCTTTAAGGAAATTACTGGAAGGAGTCACCGTGTCTAAGGACATGGGAAGATACACAACTTCCCTCACTCAACAGCTATTTCCTGTGTTTCTACTATATGTAAGGCGCGTAGTAGGTGCTCCTGTAGAAATAAAGATTAATGAGGTGCGATCCTTGTCACCCAAGAACCCAAAGTTCAGCCAAAGAGTTAATAAACACTCAACTGAAATGCAAGGGGGACCCATGGAAACAATAAAAAAGAAGAGCCCTGGGTACAAATTATGGTGAACACTCTAAGTGACGGGCCTCTCGGCGACCCACAGGACGGTCCTGAGAGGCCACAGGTAGGGGACCTCTCGCGGGCGTTCCCGAGGACACGGCAGCGGCCGCGCTGGCGGCAGGCCTCCCGGCAGAAGGCGGGAGGAGAAAAGACGCGGGGTAAGACCGACTTTCTCGGTCTCGGCACTTGGCTATTTGGAGCAGACTCCTGCGGTGTCCCTGGCCAATGCCCACGAGAGGTCGGCAGCATGCACACCCCTGGGGACAGCCGCAAAGGTCTGCAGACACTGAGAACCACTGGTGTACAAGACGTGGGCTCGAGACACAGCCGGGAACTCGGCAGAGCCGGGAGGAGCGCTGCTCCAGGGAGAAGGAAGGGAAACAGCAGAAAGGTAGGCGGGCAGGTGGCGCGCTTTGCTGTACACCCGGAACTAATACACAATAGTACTGAATTTTTAAGTGTCATTGGGAAATAAAATAAATAATTTCTTTTTAAGAAAAAGCTACTGTGAAGCCCGAGGGCTGGTTGGAACGGCTGCGGTCCACGTCCCGGCCCACGGCCCTGCGACCCCGGCGCCTCGGAGAGAAAGTGGGTCTGGGGCGGGTTCCTGTCTCTTCTCTGAAGGTCTCGCTCCACTCCTGCCCCCAAAACTCTGCTCAAAGACTCAGTTGTTTCCACCCACGCACTTCAGCTCAAGGCTAAAGGACTAAAGTCAAGGGAGATGGCACTGCTATTGCAGCAAATAAATAGCAACAATGAAACGTACTCTTGGTCTATTTTCGGATGCCGATAAGAGAAAAGGTAGAAATGAATGTTAACATTCTTTTCGCTCTCCGGGCTGTGTTCCCTGAAAATTTACGCATAAACCCGGTCTTCATCATTCAAATCCTATTTTAAAGGCACTTCAGGCACTTGTTTATTTAAAAGGAATCATCCAAGAATCCTTCCAAGATGAAAGGGTGCTAACGATGCAATAATCACCATACATCTATTTGTCGTATAAGTTGCATTTGTTATTATTATAAGTCGATAACATAATTATTTTCTAATTATAAAAGTTACTGTTATAAAACAACATGAAATTTGATAATTAATCATAGCAACTATTAATACTATATAAGAAAGTGCTTCCCACTTTTCATTTTCCTAGGAAAGCACTTTTTTTTTTAAATAAAAAGGTGCTTTAACTACTACACTTGTAGGAAGGGCACAACCTCTGAAATCAAGTCAGTGCAGATTTCCTAGAGTCTCACTCCTCTCCCTTCTCCGTCCTTACATTTTCTCACTTTGCTGAGGCCCAGCGAGTGCGTCAGGGTTCACACGAGCAGCGGGAGGCCCGTGGGACCGGGCTCTCCGGGGGCGCCTTCCCCACGGGGGGGCCCACGCCCGGCACCCCTCCCTCAGCCTGCCCTTCTGACTGGCTGTCTTCTCTGGGACAGCCAAACGCCACACCCCTGGCCTGGCGGTGGACACGCTTTGGGTCCTCCTTGCAGAGCCCCAGGAAAGGTTATCTGGTTGCTTCCACTTTTCCCTCTGGCTGCCAGGAAGCTCAACATCCAAACAGCAGACCAACAATCACCACCCCACGGGCCTTTTTACATGGACATTTACGCATAAACACACTCCCACGGGGCCCCTAAGCCCTGACTTCTGCACAATGCCGCCGTGTTGGCCCCGACGATGACCCGTTCTTATTAACAGGAGATTACTGCATCAGCAAAGCTCATTCCCGCCCCCCCCCGAAAGATATAAGAGAGTGGCCATCGGTTGAATTGAAAATTCGCCCAGCTCCCAAACAATAAGAGGCACTTTTCTTTTCCAGGAACAAAGATGTTTTATTCACATGTGAATGAGGCAAAGATTCCCTCTATTCTGTCGCCTCGAGAAGCAGTTCTGCGTTTCTATACAGAATGAGGTATTTGGCACCAGGCACGGCTGTGCATTGGGGATGAAGTTCTCCGATGGCTGCACACGCATTACGGACAAAAAGCACTTTGTACAGCCGAGCGAGAAAAAAGAAACCCTTACGCCCTTCCATGACACCCTCTTCTGTTTCCTCCTCGTCACAAGCCTTGGGTCGCCAGCCCCATAGATTCATGGGGTCACTGGGACCCGCCGCCGGGCACGGCCACAGGGACAGAGGCTGTGTGTGGACTGTAGACAGCGAGCGGGCGTGGAACCGCACCGAGTAGCTCGGGCCGTTTTCGGTTGACTCCTGTCCAACAGTGTAACTTAAAATAGATTTGGTGCAAGAGGCTGGCGTGGGGACGCGTCTCTCCAAAGGAACTGCGAACTCCTTCCAGAAACGACAGGCTAGTGCCTACTTATTCTAGGGCGGAATCCCTGAATTATTCATATTTCTAGCTAATTAGGGAGGGCTTATAAAAAGATCGCCTTCTTTCAAGGATGTTGTCCTTCTTTCTTTTCCAAAAGTTCACGTCCTCCTCTTAAGAGGGCTCTTAGCATAGATCTCAAATTTAACAGGACTCAAGAGTCATCATACCAGTAACAGTGACTTTGAAATGTCCAGCGTTAACTGAAAAACAAAGTTATTCATTAATCCCAGTATTGAGCAACAAATTGCCGACAAGGCCTGGTTTCCCGGATGAACAGCTAGTAAGAAGTGAAACAGCAGAATCTACAATTAAATGAACTTAAAGCTGGAATCCACAGCTTGAGGAGAACCATGCACGTTGAACTCATGACTATACCTAAAAATGTTTCAGAGAAATTAACAGAATGTACAAATGGTATGAATTGCTGGAGAAATCCAATGGGTGAAATTTATAATCCGAGCCTTTGTTAAAGAGCAAGCGCCCAGAGAAATTTTCATTTTAACACAAATATGACCCAATTCACAAATAAATGTACACTATGTATAAGCTGGTTTTTTAAAGCGGAAGGCAGGCGCGGTCTTCCCATCTCTTACTCTAATGAGCTAAGTGTCAGATAACACACCGCTGACCATCCATCGCCCCTTCTGAGACCTTAAAAACGAAGGGACCCGCGAGGACAGAGCTCCCGGGCCACACGACAGGCCAGGTAGGTACAAGCTCCCGCAGGGACCATGGGCACGGGGCCAACAGGACCTCAGGCCTGGCCCCTGCGTGGCCCCACGGGCTGGGTGTCCCCGGCAGGCGGTTCGGGACGCGGGGGCCGTTTATCCCGAGGGGCCCCCGAAGGGCGGGTAATAGGTCATGACGTACTCAGATCTCTCCGCTCCGCGTCTTAGGCCCTGAGGGGCACTTTCTTATCTCCTGCCCCAACACCTGACACCCCTCGGGCACCGCCGCCGGTGGACAGCCCGCCAGGGCCACTCGCTGCCGTGCTGCGGGAGCAGCGCCACAGCGCGGCTTGACCCCAGCCCCCCGGCCCCGGCCCCCCAGCATGCAACAGTCAAAGCCACAGGGGCCCCGGCCGGGCAGCTCGGCTGGTTAGAGCACCATCCTGATGCGCCACGCGGCTGCGGCTGCGGCTGCGACCCCCGGTCAGGCGCCTGCAGGAACCAACCCGCGGATGCGCAAATAGGCGGACAACAAGTCAACGATTCTCTCTCTCCCTTCATCTCTCTCTAAAATCAATGTTAAAAAAAGGTCGCGGTTCATCTAGCTTGAAACAAGCCCGTTTCCCCTTTCATAGGTTGGGGATGTGACTTGACTCCGCATAACTCCTGTGTCCCAAAGGCTTTGCAGGCCTCTGAGGGCCAACCTCTTCCGTGGGCGGAGAGACGGAGGACGAGCCGGATGCCGCGCACGGGCCTCTGCTGTCCCCAGGCCTCGCGGGCAAACGTCAAGGAGGGTTTGCTGTGCCTTGGGCCCCAGCCCTGAAGGGGTGGTGTGTTCTCCCGCTCCCTCGAGCTCCCCCGAACACCCGGGGCCTTGGGAAGCCGGCCCCACGGCCGGCCAGTGCGAACACCGCACGCTCGTCTCTGACTGCACTTTTGGCTGAAGGATTCCAGGGCACTTCAGTCTCGTGGATTCTAGGGCACAGAGATGCTCCGATCCTCGACGTCATACGGACACCCTTGCGCGAGGAAAGTCGGCCCCGCCGCCCCGCCACGCACCAAGGGTCGGACTGGGGCTCGGGAAGGAACGTTGCACGATGGAGGCCAGGAGTGTCCAGCCTGGTGGCGTCTCTGGGCCACCCTGGAAGAAGAAGAGCTGTCTTGGACCATTCGTTAAAGACACGGCAACACGTAATCACAAAAAGAGTCTCCTAGCGTTTTGAATAGATTTACAATTTTGTGTTGGACAAAAGCAGCGTTTCCTGCAACACTGGCGTGCGGGAGGCTCCAGCCGCCGGGGTTTGGGAACGAGCCTCCCTCCCCCGGCTTTGCTGTCCAAGGTCGCCTCTGGCTGCCCAACTCAAACTCTCTCCAGAGGCGTCTCTGTTGCCCAATTCACTCACCAAGACAGACAGAGGGACGGTGTGAGCTCAGGGAGCAGCCCCCAGTGGGAGGGGTCTCTCCCAATGGCCTCTGTGACACAAGCTCCTTCCCTGTCACCCCAAATGAACAGGGACACCTCTTAATGCCGTCAGACACCGTAACCTGCTTCTGCTCCCGTCGGACACC